GCTTGCCCTTCTTCCACCAGAGCGGTCCAGTTGCTTTGTCCACACACAGCAACTGTGCATAAGAGATGCCTTCAATGATCCCAGTGTCAGAAATAGTGCAGTTGCAACTGTGATACACAAGTGCTACAGTATTGTGGCTGCAATACGTCGATCTACTGTGGCTGCACCGTTCTTGAAAAAGATTGGGGTTGCACTGCAAGCTGCCAGTGCTACTAGATGGAACTCTCAGTTGACAATGATTAAGTCAGTTCTCAAGGACACCAGCGGAGTCAACTCAGCCATTCGTCTTCTAGGAACAAAAAAGACAGTAGAGGAGTTGAAGGGAATGGAAATGACAATGTTGAAAGAAGTGGTACAAGTTTTGGAACCATTCCAAGAGGCGATGTCGCAAGTAGAAGGAGAAAACATAGTTACACTTTCTTGCATCACACCAGTTGTATTTGGTCTTGAGCACAGCCTCAAACTGTTCACTGAAAGTAAACCGCTCTACTGCTTTAAGTTGGCAAATGCACTACAGTCATCTGTCAAAAAGAGAGTTGCATCCATTTCTGGAGAGGATTGATGTCATTGCCGCAGCTGCCATGGACCCCAGGTTCAAGTTGGCGTGGATTCCATGTGAGGAACTGCAGAAAGAAAAGATTTCGAAGATTGTGGACTTAATTATTGCTGAGTCTACCAAGGACTACAAGGAGAAGGTCCAGAAGGAAGAAATTCAAGAGATTGAGATTTCCATGAGCATCAACCAAGACAAAGATGGCATAATTACCAAACGACCTCCACCTGGGCCATTGATGGCAAGCCCGTCAACAAACCACACTACAGTGGTGAAGACGGAGCTTGAAACGTACCTAGAGGAAGGTGTTCTGCCTTTTGACATCAACCCACTGAAGTATTGGCGTGATATACAAAGCTTCAAAATTCTGAGGCACTTTGCCAAGAGCATTCTAGGCTGCTGTGCTCTGTCGGCACCTTCTGAGAGAGTGTTTAGCAAAGCTGGTAATTTTTACACTCCTGAGCGAGCTAAGTTGAGCCCAGAAATCTTCCGGGCATTAATGATGATAAAATGTAATTCTGATATGTAGGTATTGGGTTTGTATTTTTGAACTTGGAAATAAAAGTATTTGTATTTTTGCATCATAATGTCACAAGTATTTGTCAGTGGGGTATGCTATAACGAATCTTGAATTATTTGAACCCTGTTCAAGGTAGTATTCGTCGTTAGGTGATTACAGGTAATCCGGGCCCCAGGCTCCCCAAACAATAAACCACTTAACACTGAAAATTGTCTGTGGAAAATGTAAAAAATACGGTACTTTATCTACTCAGTGCTGTTCACATGCAGGACAGTGTGAGGCAGAGAGTAGAGGGGGAGGAGAGAATTGGATGTATAAAGAGGTAAGGAAGAGGAGTCATCCTTCCTAGTCCTCTTGCATCGTCTGCAGGCACTTTGTCTGTAGGTCTTTTTGCTACTTTTTTTAAAGATAAACCAGGGTTGACCTGTTTCAACCTGATTTCTGGACCTTCCAAAAGTGGTTCATCACATTGTCATTAAACATACATTTGATGCCCTTTTCCACAAAAAATTTTCACTACTGTGACAGAATCCTCCGCAAGCTCAAACAGTTTGGTTCAGCAAAAGAACACACCCTTTATATCTTTTGGCTGAATGATGGCTTTCCTCCTTGTCCCCATCCTCCCCTGCCTGGACCTCAGGAAGTTAAGCTCCGCTCAGTGTCTCGTTTTCCTTTTAGAAGCTCACAGCTCCTCAGTGACAGCTCTTACTGTGCTCTTTCCACCAACTCTCAACATCATCCACTCTGTGCCCACTACCCAGAGACACAATTTCATGTACAACAGCCTTTCTGAAGCCTTTCTAAAGTCTCTTTTTGAAGCACATCTGTGCTTACAATGGCTCTAAGCAGCACAATAATAAAGACACCTCATAGAAACCCTTCCAGGCTGGACACACAATTAAAAACACAGCATCTAAGCAGCCAGCGACTCTTCCAAAATTCCTTCAAACTTTTACATCACTGGAAGAAGTGGACGCAAAAACATTTTCTAAACAGTGCCCCTGTGTACAGCTTCTTAAAGTTAGAAATTAACGTTGATCCATGGGCTGATGAGAGGTATTGTGTTGGGTGGCAAGAAGTGCAGTGATGAAGTTGAACTCTCTGGCAATTCAACCATCAAATTAGAGGTGGGCTGGCATTGTCCATCACCATGAGCTTTCAGTGGAAGAGTCATCTCCTGAGGTATTCCTGAACACTGGGTCCAAAACACCTCAGTCACCCACTCAGAGAAAAGACTCCTGGTCACCTGGGTTTTGGGTTTGACTGCCACATAACACCACATGGTTCTTCCAATGTTTTTTGAAAGTTCTGGGTTTTCTGCATAAAACACATGAGTGGTTTTATCTTGCAGTCACCAGAAGCATTAGCACAAACAAGGAGGGTAAGCCTGTCTTTCATTATTATGGCTAGGACAGAAGTTTCTCCCTTTGTAATATATTATGAGGCAATTTTTTTCCTAAAAGTCCAGTTTCATCACAGTTGAATACCTGCTGAGAAACAGTTTCCCTCTTTATTAATATTCAAAAAATTTCTATGGTGTTCTAGCTGCTTCCTTATCGGCACTAGAGCATCACCATGTCTCACAACACTCGTAATTTATTGGTTTTTCTTGAACCAGTAAACCACCCTGCATAAAAATTCATCACTTCCACTCTGGGAGTCTTAGCTTTAAGGTCCTCAAACAATTGTCTGGCCTCACAAATTATAGCTTCACTAATGCTAATCACCTGCCATTTCTTTTTCTCCCTTTATCCACACTAAGAGTAAAATTTTCCATCTCCTCAATCACATTACACCTTGTTTTGCAAAGTCTAGAGATTCCTCAGCCACTTCTGCAGCACAGTTTTTTAACTCCTTTCTTTTATTCTTCAAAATCGCATAGTCGATTAGCCATCCCATATCTATCAATAAGTTTCTGCAATGCTTGTTCCATTCTCACATTTCTTTTAAGGATTTCTTTCTAGTTTCAAGGGTTATTAGCTTTCACCTCGCTTTCTTTGGACGATTCTATTGTTACAATTGTACACTTGTATAACAAAAATAGTTATGTACAACACGAATTTCGCCATCAAAAGACGAAATTTCAACAATAACAGTGGTGCACTGGCTACACAATGAGACAAAGATGGCGCCTTTATTTTGGTTAGAGCCGCTGTACAACAATATTCATGCTACCAGACGAAATAGTCCCAGATTCATCCGCGTTCGTTGTAGGAGTTGTTGCACTTATAGCATTCTCAATTTATAGGTAAAACCGTTCGTTATAGGAATATTCGTAGTAAAATCCGTTCGTTATAGCATATCCCACTGTATTTGTATTTGACCGCTAAAAATCAGTATTTGATCCTACCCTGAGTCTGAGAGCAAGAGATGAAGAATGTCTTTTTTGTTAAAAATGAAAATGAAAGAGGTCAAACATTTGGAAAAGGAACAAACTGCCAACATTATGGCTGCAATGGCCTTCATGAGATCATCATCATATACCATTTGTCCTATTGCAATTTTTTAAACAGTCTACAACTGTTACAACATTCTGGCAGGAGGCTGCTAGACCAGATATCCCTCTCCTAGTCACAGGCCTGGCATTTGACTTATTAGGACCTGCCACTTCTGGCAAATAGATAAATGTACCGGAACTTTCCACACACTCATCATTCTTCACTTTTGTAACTTGACAGAACCTATGACCTTCGGCTTTTTACGCCTTAATGTACGGTCATAAAGGCAAGTATGAACTTTTCATACTTCCTGTTGGGCGCTGTAAACGCTTGCGCTTCACCTTGACAGGATGTAGGGTGCTCATTAAACTAGCTTCGGGGCAAATCTGAGTCTGTTATAGGTACAACAGTTCACAACCATAACATTCTCTGGCAGGTTATAGCTGTACAGCAGTTCGCAACTATTACAACATTCTTTGGCAGGTTATAGCTGTACACAGTTCACAACTGTTACAACATTCTCTGGCAGGTTATAGCTGTACTCCCAGACTGTTATATCTTCTCTGGCGTGTTTGGTGTATTAGGGTTCCAACCTTTGCCATTTCTGATGGTGTACCGGTTCACACATTCATCATTCTCTCAGTTTTATGTAACTTACAACCATTACCTTCTGGCTTTATGGCTGTATTTGAAATACAAATTCTGGCGGGTTATACTTCCTGTTACGTTAAACGTTCTCTGTCGGGTTGCAGTGTAAGGTTCTAATAAACATTCTCTGGCAGGTTATGTTGGCCGCAACAGTTCACAACTGTTACAACATTCTCTTGCAGGTTATGTTGCACAGCAGTTCACAACCATTACAGCATTCTCTGGCAGGTTATAGCCAACAGGTTTTTTTTGGGGTTTGTGTGTTTTTTTGGGGGTTTGTGGGGTTTTTTTTGGGGTTTGGGTTTTTTTTGGGGGTTTGTGTGTTTTTTTTGGGGGTTTGGTGGGGCAGTTCACAACTTTTATTGTTACAACATTCTCTGGCAGGTTATTGCAAGGGTCTCCGACTTACAAATACCCGCTGGTACAAACGAGGTCCCATAACATCAATTATTAAAAAAATCCGGCACAAGTACAATGGCCGGGAGCAGTTATGTATGAGAACTACTTTGCGCAGCCTCAAGTACAAACTTTTTTTTTTATTTTTTATTAAATTTTTCGGCCCTCATCATGGCTCCCAAACACAAAATTGATGCAAGTGACAGTAGTGCATCCAAGAAAAGAAAACAATTACAATAGAAGTGAAAGTTGATGTAATTAAACGTTCTGAAAAGGACAAACACCTCAGTCATCGGTAGGTGTTGGGCTTCAGTCGCTCAATGGTCAGAATAATTTTTGAAGACAGAAAATTCTTGAAGAAGTTAAAGGATCTACACCAATACGTACTAACTGTGATAACTAAACAAAGAAGTGGATTGTTAACTGAAATGAAGGTGTTAGTGATATGGGTGGAAGATTAAAATCAACGGCGTCTTTCTCTAAGTCTAGCCTCTGTTCTGGAAAAGCAAGAAGCCTGCACACTGACTTGAAGGCAAGGGCAAACTTACGTCACATGAAAGTGCAAGTGGAAGCAGCTAGTGTGGATGAAGTTGCAGCAAGTGAATTAACTGCTGCTTTAGCTAAAATAATTGGAGAAGGGGGTTATTGTGCTGAGCAAGTGTTTAATACTGATGAGACTGGTTTGTTTTGGAAAAGGATGCCCAAACACACATACTTTTCAAAAACATGAAAAAACAGCACCAGGGCATAAAGCTGCCAAGGATTGGCTGACCTCACTGCTGGGAGGCAATCCTGCTGGGGACTACAAACTAAAACCTTTGCTTGTTTATCAGTCAGAAAATCCTAGAGCTTTGAAGGGTTGTTTTCAAGACAGCACTTCCAGTTATCTGGAAAGCTAATAAGAAGGCTTAGGTGACATTGTCTCTTTTTGAATACTGGTACCTTAAACATTTTGTGCCTGAATTGTACCTACCTCCAAACACACATCTGTCTTACAACCTATGGATCGGGGAGTTATTGCTTTATTTAAAGCATATTATCTGAGAAGGACATTTGTTCAAGCTTATATCAGGGCAACAGAACGAAAAGAGGGTAGGAATTTAAAGGAATTTTGAAGTCCTACAACATTTTGATGCTGTGAAAACATTACACATTCATGGACTGGAGGTAAAAGAAACCAACATGAATGGTATTTGGATAAAAACTTGCCCACAAAGCTTCATCCACGATTTCAGTTTGAAGATGATAATGGGGAAGTGACATAGACAGTGGTAGATCTTGAGACCAACTCCAGCTTGATATTCATGGAGGATGATGTCACCAGTTGCTCGAGTCTCATGCTGAAGAATTAAGCAATAAGACCTGATGGAACTGGAGAAGCAAATTTTGACAGAGAGGATGTACAGAAGCCAGGAAACCCAGAACCAAAATGATTCATTACAAAAGAAATGGTAGAAGGTTTCAGGAATATTGAAGAAGGAGTGCTTTAAATTTGAACAGCAAAATCCCAACATAGTAAGATTCACTCAAGGTCCATAGAGGCATACGGAATGCCTAAATGCATGCTACAGAAGCAGACTTATGAAAAAAGAAGAAAGTTTCAGTTCAACCATCCTTGAACCTTCTGCAGCATCAACAGAACCAGTCCTTTGAACCTCTGCAGCATCAACAGAAATCCAGTCCTTGAACCTCTGCAGCATCAACAGAACCATCCCTTGAACTCTGAAGCATCAACAGAACCAGTCCTTGAACTCCTGCAGCATCAACAGAACCAGTCTTCTTGAACCCTGCAGCATGTACAGAACAAGTCCCATCAACCCTGCAGCTCAACAGAACCAGTACCATCAACCCCAGCATCAACAGAACCAGTCCCACCCCAACCCTCTGCAGCATCTACAGAGCCAGTCCCATCAACCCTACAGCATCAGCAGAACCAGTACCATCAACCTCTGCAGCATCTACAGAACCAGTCCCATCAACCTCTGCAGCATCTACAGAACCAGTTCCATCAACCTCTGCAGCATCAACAGAACCAGTAACATCAACCTCTGCAGCATCTGCAAACCAGTCCCATCAACCTCTGCAGCATCTACAGAACCAGTCCCATCAACTCCCTGCGGGCATCTACAGAACCAGTCCTCAACCACTGCAGCATCTACAGAACCAGTCCCATCAGCCTCTGCAGCACCTACAGAACCAGTCCCATCAACCGCAGGATCAACAGAACCAATCCCATCAACCTCTGCAGCATCTACAGAACCAGTCCCATCAACCTCTGCATCATCTACAGAACCAGTCCCATCAATATCTGCATCAACAGAACCAGTCCCATCAACCTCTGCAGCATCTACAGAGCCAGTCCCATCAACCTCTACAGCATCAACAACCATATACCATCAACCACCGCAGCATCTACAGAACCAGTCCCATCACCCCAGCATCTACAGAACCAGTTCCATCAACCCTGCAGCATCAACAGAACCAGTAACATCAACCTCTACTCCAGAACCAGTCCTATCAACTTCTGCAGCATCTAAAGAACCAGTCCCATCGACCTATGCAGCATCAAAAAGAACCAGTCCTATCAACCTCTACAGAACCAGTCCCACCAATCTCTGCATCTACAGAACCAGTCCCATCAACCTCTGCAGAATTCAAAGAACCAGTCCCCACGACCTATGCAGCATCAAAAAGAACCAGTCCCATCAACCTCTACATAACCAGACCCATCGCCTGCAGCATCTACAGAACCAGTCCTATCAACCTCTGCAGCATCTACGGAACCAGTCCCACGACCTGTGCACCATCTATATAGAACCACAGTCCCATCAACCCCTGCAGCATTCAAACCAGTCCCATCAACCTCTGCAGCATCTAAAAGAACCGTAGTCCCATCGACCTATGGCATCAAAAGAAATCCAGTCCCATCAACCCTACAGAACCAGTCCCATCAATCTCTGCAGCATCTACAGAACCACTTCCATCAACCTCTGCAGCATCTTACAGAACCACAGTTCAACCTCTGCAGCATCAACAGAACCAGTCCCATCAACCTCTGCAGCATCAACAGAACCAGTCCCATCAACCTCTGCAGCATCTACAGAACCAGTCTCATCAACCCCAGCAGCATCAACAGAACAAGTCCCATCAATCTCTGCAGCATCTACAGAACCAGTCCCATCAACCCTGCAGCATCTACAGAACCAGTCCCACTGGGCCCCTGCAGCATCTAAAGAACCAGTCCCATCGACCTATGCAGCATCAAAGAACCAGTCCTTATCAACCTCTACAGAACCAGTCCCATCAACCTCTGCAGCATCTACAGAACCAGTCCCATCAACCCCTGCAGCATCTACAGAACCAGTCCCATCAACCTCTGCAGCATCTACAGAACCAGTCCCATCAATCTCTGCAGCATCTACAGAACCAGTCCCATCAATCTCTGCAGCATCTACAGAACCAGTCCCATCAACCCCTGCAGCATCTACAGAAACTAAATCCCATCAACCTCTGCAGCATCTAAAGAACCAGTCCCATCGACCTATGCAGCATCTAAAGAACCAGTCCTAACAATCCCATATGCAGCATCAAAGAACCAGTCCCATCAACCTCTGCAGCATCTAAAAGAACCAAACCCATCGACCTATGCAGCATCTAAAGAACCAGTCCCATCAATCATGCAAATATCGCAACTAGTCCCATCAACTCCTGCAGCTCAACAGAACCAAGCACATCAACCTCTTCTGCAGCATCAACAGAATCCAGTCCCACCAACCTCTGCAGCATCTACAGAGCCAGTCCCATCAACCTCTACAGCATCAACACAGAACCAGTACCATCAACCTCTGCAGCATCTACAGAACTGAAGTCCCATCAACCTCTGCAGCATCTACAGAACCAGTTCCATCAACCTCTGCAGCATCAACAGAACCAGTAACATCAACCCTGCAGCATCTGCAAACCAGTCCCATCAACCCTGCAGCATCTACAGTAAACCAGTCCCATCAACTTCTGCAGCATCTACAGAACCAGTCCTAACCACGGTGCATCTAAGGCACCAGTCCCATCAAATGCAGCACCTACAGAACCAGTCCCATCAACCTCTGCAGGATCAACAGAACCAATCCCATCAACCTCTGCAGCATCTACAGAACTGGTCCCATCAACCTCCTGCATCATCTACAGAAATCCAGTCCCCACCAACCCCTGCAGCATCAATAACAGAACTAGTCCCATCAACCCCTGGCATCTACAGAGCCAGTCCCATCAACCCTACAGCATCAACAGAACCAGTACTCATCAACCACCGCAGCATCTACAGAACCAGTCCCATCAAACTCTTGCAGCATCTACAGAACCAGTTCCATCAACCTCTGCAGCATCAACAGAAACTAGTAACATCAACTCCTGGCAGCACTACAGAACTAAACTCACCAACTTCTGCAGCATCTAAAGAACCCAGTCCCACCTATGCAGCATCAAAAGAACCAGTCCATCAACCCTACAGAACCAGTCCCATCAATCTCTGCAGCATCTACAGAACCAGTCCCATCAACCTCAGAATCTAAAGAACCAGTCCCATCGACCTATGCAGCATCAAAAGAACCAGTCCCATCAACCTCTACATAACCAGACCCATCAAACCGCAGCATCTACAGAACCAGTCCCATCAACCTCTGCAGCATCTACGAACCAGTCCCACCAACCTGTGTACCATCTATAGAACCAGTCCCATCAACCTCTGCAGCATCTACAGAACCAGTCCCATCAACCTCTGCAGCATCTAAAGAACCAGTCCCATCGACCTATGCAGCATCAAAAGAACCAGTCCCATCAAACCCCAAGAACCAGTCCCATCAATCTCTGCAGCATCTACTATGAACCACTTCCATCAACCTCTGCAGCATCTACAGAACCAGTCCCATCAACCCTGCATCAACAGAACCAGTCCCATCAACCCTGCAGCATCAACAGAACCAGTCCCATCAACCTCTGCAGCATCTACAGAACCAGTCTCATCAACCCCTAGCAGCATCAACAGAACAAGTCCCATCAATCTCTGCAGCATCTACAAAACCAGTCCCATCAACCCTGCAGCACCTACAGAACCAGTCCCATCAACCTCTGCAGCATCTAAAGAACCAGTCCCATCGACCTATGCAGCATCAAAAAGAACCAGTCCCATCAACCCTACAGAACCAGTCCCATCAACCCATGCAGCATCTACAGAACCAGTCCCATCAACCTCTGCAGCATCTTACAGAACCAGTCCCATCAACCCTCTTGCATCTACAGAACCAGTCCCATCAATCTCTGCAGCATCTACAGAACCAGTCCCATCAATCTCTGCAGCATCTACAGAACCAGTCCCATCAACCCTCAAAGTGGCATCTACAGAACCAGTCCCATCAACCTCTGCAGCATCTAAAGAACCAGTCCCATCGACCTGCGCATCTATAAAGAAACCAGTCCCATCAACCTATGCAGCATCAAAAGAACCAGTCCCATCAACCTCTGCAGCATCTAAAGAACCAGTCCTATCAACCTATGCAGCATCTAAAGAACCAGTCCCATCAACCTATGCAGCATCAAAGAACCAGTCCCATCAACCCTGCAGCATCTAAAGAACCAGTCCCATCGACCTATGCAGCATCAAAAGAACCAGTCCCATCAACCCTACAGAACTAGTCCCATCAACCCTGCAGCATCTACAGAACCGACCAACAAACTCTGCAGCATCTACAGAGCCAGCATCAACCTCTGCAGCATCTAAGAACCAGTCCCATCGACCTATGCAGCAGCATCAAAAGAACCAGTCCTATCAACCTCTACAGAACCAGTCCCATCACCCTGCATCTACAGAACCAGTCCCCCATCAACCTCGTAGAATCTAAAGAACCAGTCCCATCGACCTGTATGCAGCATCAAAAGAACCAGTCCCATCAACCTCTACATAACCAGACCCATCAACCCTCTGCAGCATCTACAGAACCAGTCCCATCAACCCTGCAGCATCTAATGAACCAGTCCCATCAACCTCTGCACCATCTATAGAACCAGTCCCATCAACCTCTGCAGCATCTACAGAACCAGTCCCATCAACCTCTGGGTAGCAGCATCTATAAAAGAACCAGTCCCATCGACCTATGCAGCATCTATAGAACCAGTCCCATCAACCTCTGCAGCATCTACAGAACCAGTCCCATCAACCCTCTATAGAACCAGTCCCATCAATCTCTGCAGCATCTACAGAACCAGTTCCACTCAACCCTGCAGCATCTACAGAAACAGTCCCATCAACCTCTCTGCAGCATCAACAGAACCAGTCCCATCAACCTCTGCACCATCACGAACCAGTCCCATCAACCTCTGCAGCATCTACAGAACCAGTCTCATCAACCCTCAGCAGCATCAACAGAACCAGTCCCATCAAACTCTGCAGCATCTACAGAACCAAAGTCTCATCAACCTCTGCAGCATCAACAGAACAACCCCATCAATCTCTGCACCATCTACAGAACCAGTCCCATCAACCCTGCAGAATCTACAGAACCAGTCCTGCATCAACCTGTGCACCATCTATGAACCAGTCCCACTCACCCTGCAGCATCTACAGAACCAGTTCCATCAACCTCTGCAGCATCTACAGAACCAGTCCCATCAACCTCTGCAGCATCAACAGAACCAAAGTCCCATCAACCTCTGCAGCATCAACAGAAATCCAGTCCCATCAACCCTGCAGCATCTACAGAACCAGTCTCATCAACCTCAGCAGCATCAACAGAACAAGTCCCATCAACCTCTGCAGCATCTATAAACCAGTCCCATCAACCTCTGCAGCATCTACAGAACCAGTCCATCAACCTGTGCAGCATCTAAAGAACAAGTCCCATCGACCTATGCAGCATCAAAAAGAACCAGTCCCATCAACCCCTAAAACCTAGTCCCATCAACCTCTGCAGCATCTACAGAACCAGTCCCATCAACCTCTGCAGCATCTACAGAACCAGTCCCATCAACCTCTGCAGCATCTAAAGAACCAGTCCCATCGACCTATGCAGAATCAAAAGAACCAGTCCCATCAACCCTACAGAACCAGTCCCATCAACCTCTGCAGCATCTACAGAACCAGTCCCATCAACCTCTGCATCATCTACAGAACCAGTCCCATCAACCTCTGCAGCATCAACAGAAGCAGTCCCATCAACTCCTCCAGCATCTACAGAGCTGTCCCAACAACCTCTGCAGCATCTACAGAACCAAATTCCATCAACCTCTGCAGCATCTACAGAACCAGTCCCATCAACCCTGCAGCATCTACAGAACCAGTCCCATCAACCTCTGCAGCATCAACAGAAGCAGTCCCATCAACCTCTCCAGCATCTACATAGAACCAGTCCCATCAACCCTGCAGCATCAACAGAACCAGTACCATCAACCTCTGCAGCATCTTACAGAACCAGTCCATCAACCTCTGCATCATCTACAGAACCAGTCCCATCAACCTCTGCAGCATCAAATGAAACCAGTTCCATCAACCTTCCAGCATCTGGCAGAACCAGTCTCATCAACCTCTGCAGCACAACAACAGAACCAGTCCCATCAACCTCTGTGTACTACAGAACCAGTCCCATTAACCTCTCCAGCATCTACAGAACTGTAGCCCCATCAACCTCTGCAGCATCAACAGAACCAGTTCCATCAACCTATCCAGCATCTACAGAACCAGTCTCATCAACCTCTGCAGCATCAACAGAACCAGTCCCATCAACCCTACAGAATCAGTCCCATCAACCCCTGCAGCATCAACAGAACCAGTTCCATCAACCTCTCCAGCATCTGCTACAGAACCAAGTTCCATCAACCACTGCATCAACAGAACCAGTTCCATCAACTCCTACAGCATCTACAGAACCAGTCCTACCAACCCCAGCATCTAAAGAACCACTCCATCAACCCTGCAGCATCAACAGAAGCAGTCCCATCAACCTCCAGCATCTACAGAACCAGTCCCATCAACCTATGCAGCATCAACAGAACCAGTCCCATCAACCTCTGCATCATCAACAGAACCAGTCCCTCAACTCTGCAGCATCTACAGAACCAGTCCCATCAACCTCTGCATCAACAGAACCAGTACCATCAACCCTGCAGCATCTACAGAACCAGTCACATCAACCACTGCATCATCAACAGAAACAGTCCCATCAACCTCTGCAGCATCAACAGAACCAGTACCATCAACCTCTGCAGCATCTACAGTAGAACCAGAAGTCACATCAACCACTGCATCATCAACAGAACCAGTCCCATCAACCTCTGCAGCATCTACAGAACCAGTTCCATTCAACCTCTGCAGTACCAACAGAACCAGTAATATCAACCTCTGCAGCATCTGCAAAACCAGTCCCATCAGCCTCTGCAACATCTACAGAACCAGTCCCATCAACCTCTCCAGCATCTACAGAGCCAGTCCCATCAACCTTCCAGCATCTACAGAGCCAGTCCCATCAACCTCTGCAGTATCAACAACAGAAACCAGTACCATCAACCTCTGCAGCATCTGCCAGGTCCAGTCCCATCAACTCTGCAGCATCAACAGAACCAGTAACATCAACCTCTGCAGCATCTGCAAAACCAATAGTCCCATCAACCTCAAAATCAACAGAAGCAGTCCCATCAACCCCCAGCATCTACAGAACCAGTCCCATCAACCTCTGCAGCATCTACAGAGCCATCCCATCAACCTCTGCAGCATCAACAGAACCAGTACCATCAACCTTCTGCAGCATCTATAACCAGTCCCATCAACCTCGTAATACCATAGAACCAGTCCCATCAACCCTGCAGCATCAACAGGAAACGAAACATCAACCTCTGCAGCATCTACAGAACCAGTCCCATCAACCTCTGCAGCATCTAAAGAACCAGTTCCATCAACCTCTGCAGCATCAACAGAACTAGTAACATCAACCTCTGCAGCATCTGCAAACCAGTCCCATCAGCCTCTGCAGCATCAACAGAAGCAGTCCCATCAACCTCTGCAGCATCTACAGAACCAGTCCCATCAACCCTCTGCAGCATCAACAGAACCAGTCCCATCAACCTCTGCAGCATCAACAGAACTACAGTCCCATCAACCCTGCAGCACCAACAGAACCAGTCCCATCAACCTCTGCAGCATCTACAGAACCAGTCACATCAACCACTGCATCATCAACAGAACCAGTCCCATCAACCCTGCATCATCAACAGAACCAGTCCCATCAACCTGCATCAACAGAAATCCAGTCCCATCAACCTCTGCAGCATCTTACAGAACCAGTCACATCAACCACTGCATCATCATCAACAGAACCAGTCCCATCAACCCTGCATCATCAACAACCAGTCCCATCAACCTCTGCAGCATCAACAGAAGCAGTCCCATCAACCTCTGCATCTACAGAGCCAGTCCCATCAACTCTGCAGCATCAACAGAACTAGTCCCATCAACTCCTGCATCATCTACAGAACCAGTCCCATCAACCCTGCAGCATCAACAGAACCAGTACCATCAACCTCTGCAGCATCTACAGAACCAGTCCCATCAACCCTGCATCATCTACAGAACCCAGTCCCATCAACCTCTGCAGCATCAACAGAACCAGTACCATCAACCTCTGCAGCATCTACAGAACCAGTCCCATCAACCCTGCAGCATCTAAAGAACCGTTCCATCAACCTCTGCAGCATCAACAGAACCAGTAACATCAACCTCTGCAGCATCTGCAAAACCAGTCCCATCAGCCTCTGCAGCATCTACAGAACCAGTCCCATCAACCCCTGCAGCATCTACAGAACCAGTACCATCAACCCCAGCATCTGCAAAACCAGTCCCATCAGCTCCTACAGCATCAACAGAACCAGTCCCATCAACCTCTGCAGCATCTACAGAACCAGTACCATCAACCCTCTGCAGCATCTACAGAACCAGTCCCAACAACTTCTGCAGCATCTACAGAACCAGTCCCATCAACCCTGCAGCATCTACAGAACTAGTACTATCAACCTCTGCAGGCATCTACAGAACCAGTCCCAACAACTTCTGCAGCATCACAGATCCAGTCCCATCAACCTCTGCAGCATCTACAGAACCAGTCCCATCAACCCTCTGCAGCATCAACAGAACCAGTCCCATCAACCTCTGCAGCATCAACAGAACCAGTCCCATCAACCTCTGCAGCATCTACAGAACCAGTCACATCAACCACTGCATCATCAACAGAACCAGTCCCATCAACCTCTTGCATCATCAACAGAACCAGTCTCCTCTAACCCTGCAGCATCTACAGAACCAGTCCCCTCAACCACTGCAGCATCAACAGAACCAGTCACATCAACCACTGCATCATCAACAGAACCAAACCAACCACTGCAGCATCAACAGAACCAGTCACATCAACCACTGCATCATCAACAGAACCAGTCCCCAACCACTGCAGCATCAACAGAACCAGTCACATCAACCACTGCATCATCAACAGAACCAGTCCCATCAACCTCTGCAGCATCTACAGAAACCAGTCAAGCATCAACCACTTCATCATCAACAGAACCAGTCCCATCAACCTCTGCAGCATCTACAGAACCAGTCCCATCAACCCTGCAGCACTACAGAGCCAGTCCCATCAACCTCTGCAGCATCTACAGAACCATTCCCAACAACCTTTGCAGCATCTACAGAACCAGTCCAACAACTTCTGCAGCATATAAGATCCAGTCCCATCAACCTCTGCAGCATCTACAGAACCGTCCCACTCAACCTCTGCAGCATCTACAGAATGTCCCATCAACCTCTGCAGCATCAACAGAACCAGTCCTATCAACCTCTGCAGCATCTACAGAAGCAGTTCCATTAACCTCTGCAGTACCCACAGAACAAGTCCCATCAACCTCTGCAGCATCAACAGAAATCCGAACTCTTATCAACCCTGCAGCATCTACAGAAGCAGTCCACCAACCTCGCAGCATCTACAGAACAAGTCCCATCAACCTCTGCAGCATCAACAGAACCAGTCCCATCAACCCTGCAGCATCTACAGAAGTAGTCCCATCAACCTCTGCAGCATCAACAGACCCAGTCCCATCAACATGGACAGCATCTACAGAACAAGTCCCATCAACCCTGCATCAACAGAACCAGTCCCATCAACCCTGCAGCATCTACAGAAGCAGTCCCATCAACCTCTGCAGCATCTACAGAACCATTCTATCAACCTCTTGCAGCATCTTGGGCAGAAGCAGTTCCATTAACCTCGCAGCATCAACAGACCCAGTCCCATCAACCTCTGCAGCATCTACAGAACCAGTCCCATCAACCTTACACCATCAACAGAACCAGTCCCATCAACCCCTGCAGCATCAACAGAACTAGTCCCATCAACCCTGCAGCTCTACAGAACCAGTCTCCATCAACCCCAGCAGCATCAACAGAACCAGTCCCATCAACCCTGCAGCATTTACAGAACCAAACCTAACAAACCCTGCAGCATCAACAGAACCAGTCCCATCAGCCTCTGCAGCATCAACAGAACCAGACCCATCAACCTCTAAGCAGCATCAACAGAACCAGTAAATTTCATCAACCTCTGCAGCATCTACAGAACCAGTCCCATCAACCTTGGTAGCATCTACAGCACCAGTTCCATCAACCTCTGCAGCACAACAGAACCAGTAACATCAACCTCTGCAGCATCAACAGACCAGTCCAATCAACTCCTACAGAACCAGTCCTACCAATCTCAAGCACTCCAGAACCAGTCCCATCAACCTCTGCAGCATCTACAGAACCAGTCCCATCAACCTCTGCAGCATCAACAGACCAGTCCCATCAACCTTCTGCATCATCTACAGAACCAGTCCCCAACCACACTGCATCATCAAGAGAACCAGTCCCATCAACCCTGCAGCATCTACAGAACCAGTCCTATCAACCCCTGCAGCATCTACAGAGCCAGTCCCATCAACCCCTGCATCTACAGGCACCATTCTCCCCAACAACCTTTGCAGCATCTTACAGAATCCAGTCCCAACAACTTCTGCAGCATATACAGATCCAGTCCCCATCAACCTCTGCAGCATCTACAGAACCAGTCCCATCAACCTCTGCACATCTACAGAACAAGTCCCATCAACCTCTGCAGCATCAACAGAACCAGTCCCATCAACCTCTGCAGCATCTACAGAAGCAGTTCCATTTAACCCTGCAGCATCTAAGCAGAACAAGTCCCATCAACCTCTGCAGCATCAACAGAACCAGTCCCATCAACCTCTGCAGTATCTACAGAAGCAGTCCCATCAACCTCTTGCAGCATCTACAGAACAAGTCCATCAACTCTGCAGCATCAACAGAACCAGTCCCATCAACCTCTGCAGCATCTACAGAAGCAGTCCCATCAACCTTCGGGTAAGAGCATCAACAGACCCAGTCCCATCAACCTCGGCATCTACAGAACAAGTCCCATCCCCTGCAGCATCAACAGAACCAGTCCCATCAACCTCTGCAGCATCTACAGAAGCAGTCCCATCAACCTCTGCAGCATCTACAGAACCATTCCCAACCTCCTGCAGCATCTACAGAAGCAGTTCCACAACTTGGCATCAACAGACCCAGTCCCATCAACCTCTGCAGCATCTACAGAACCAAACCCCATCAACCTCTACACTCATCAACAAACCAGTCCCATCAACCTCTGCAGCATCAACAGAACCAGTCCTTATCAACCTCTGCAGCGTCTACAGAACCAGTTCCATCAACCTCAGCAGCATCAACAGAACTGGTCCTATCAACCTCTGCAGCATTTACAGAACCAGTCCCATCAACCCTCTGCAGCATCAACAGAACCAGTCCCATCAGCCCTGCAGCATCAACAGAACCAGACCCATCAACCCTACAGCATCAACAGAACCCAGTACCATCAACCCTGCAGCATCTACAGAACCAGTCCCATCAACCTTTGCAGCATCTACAGCACCAGTTCCATCAACCCTGCATCAACAGAACCAGTAACATCAACCCTGCAGCAGAATAAACAGCATCAACAGACCAGTCCAATCAACCTCTACAGAACCAGTCCCATCAATCTCTGCAGACCTACAGAACCAGTCCCATCAACCTCTGCAGCATCTACAGAACCAGTCCCATCAACCCTGCAGCATCAACAGCCCAGTCCCATCAACCTCTGCATCATCTACAGAACTAGTCCCATCAACCTCTGCAGCATCAACAGAACTAGTCCCATCAAGCTCTGCAGCACACAGAGCCAGTCCCATCAACCTCTACAGCATTAACAAAACCAGTACCATCAACCCTCTTGCAGCATCTACAGAACCAGTCCCATCAACCCTTGCAGCATCTACAGCACCAGTTCCATCTTCAACCCTGCAGCATCAACAGAACCAGTAACATCAACCTTTTGCAGAAAACCAGTCCTAACAACTTCTGCAGCATCTACAGAACCAGTCCCATCAACCCTGCAGCATCTACAAAACCAGTCCCACCAACCTCTGCAGCATCAACAGAACCAGTCCCATCAACCTCTGCAGTATCAACAGAACCAGTCCCATCAACTCCTGCAGACTTCAATAACAGAACCAGTCCCATTAACCTCTGCAGCATCAACAGACCAGTCCCATCAACCTCTGCATCATCTACAGAACCAGTCCCATCAACCTCTGCAGCATCAACAGAACCAGTCCCATCAAGTTTCGCAGCATCTACAGAACCAGTCCCATCAACCTCTGCAGCATCTACAGAACCAGTCCCATCAACTTCTGCAGCATCTACAGAACCAGTCCCATCAACTTCTGCAGCATCTACAGAAACAGTCCCATCAACCTCTGCAGCATCTACAGAACCAGTCCCATCAACTTCTGCAGAATCTACAGAACCAATCCCATCAACCTCTGCAGCATCGACATAACCAGTTCCATCAACCTCTGCAGCATCTACAGAACCAATCCCATCATCCTCTGCAGCATCGAGATAACCAGTCCCATCAACCTCTGCAACATCTACAGAACCAATCCCATCAACCTCTGCAGCATCTACAGAACCAGTCCCACCAACCTCTGCAACATCTACAGAACCAATCCCATAAACCTCTACAGCATATACAGAACCAGTCCCATCAACCTCTGCAGCATCTACAGAACCAGTCTCATCAACCTCTGCAGCATCTACGGAAAAAGTCCCATGAACCTGTGCAGCATCTACAGACCTAGTCCCATTAACCTCTGCAGCATCTACAGAACCAGTTCCATCAAACTCTGCAGCATCTACAGAACCAGTTCCATCAACCTCTGCCGCATCTACAGAACCAGTCTCATCAACCTCTGCAGCATCTACAGAACCAGTCCCATGAACCTGTGCAGCATCTACAGACCCAGTCCCATTAAACTCTGCAGCATCTACAGACCCAGTTCCATCAACCTCTGCACCATCTACAGAACCAGTTCCATCAACCTCTGCAGCATCTACAGAACCAGTCCCATCAACTCTGCAGCATCTACAGAACCAGTTCCATCAAGCCATCACCACCATCTGCAGCATCTACAGAACCAGTCCCATCAACCTCTGCAGCATTTGAAGAAATCCCATCAACCTCTGCAGCATCTACAGAACCATCCCATCAACCTCTGCAGCACCTACAGAACCAGTCCCATCAACCTGTGCAGCATCTACAGAACCAGTTCCACCATCCTCTGCAGCATCTACAGAACCACTCCCATCAACCTCTGCAGCATCTACAGAGCCAATCCCATCAACCTCTGCAGCACCTACAGAACCAGTCCCATCAACCTCTGCAGCATCTACAGAACCAGTTCCATCAACTTCTGTAGTTTCTACAGAACCAGTCCCATCAACCTCTGCAGCATCGACAGACCCAGTCCCATCAACCTGTGCAGCATCTACAGAACCAGTTCCATCAACCTCTGCAGCATCTACAGAAACAGTCCCATCAACTTAAACATCTACAGAACCATTCCCGTCAACCTCTCCAGCATCTACAGAACCAGGCCCATCAACCTCTGCAGTATCTACAGAACCAGTCCCATCAACCTCTGCAGCATCAGCAGAACCAGTCCCATCAATCTCTGCAGCATCAACAGAACCAGTCTCATCAACCTCTGCAGCATATACAGAATTAATCCCATCAACCTCTGCAACATCTACAGAACCAGTCCCATCAACCTCTGCAGCATCTACAAAACCAGTCCCATCAACCTCTGCAGCATCTACAGAACCAGTCCCATCAACCTCTGCAGCATCAACAGAACCAGTCCCATCAACCTCAAAAGTACTCAACAGAAACCAGTCCCATTAACCCTGCAGCATCTACAGAACCAGTCACATCAACCACTGCATCATCAAACAAAACCAGTCCCATCAACTCCTCTGCAGCACCTACAGAACCAGTCCCATCAACCTCTTGCATCTACTGAACCAGTCACATCAACCACTGCATCATCAACAGAACCAGTCCCATCAACCTCTGCAGCACCTACAGAACCAGTCCTATCAACCCTGCAGGATCAACAGAACCAGTAACATCAACCCTGCAGCATCTACAGAACCAGTCCCATCAACCTCTGCAGCATCAACAGAACCAATCCCATCAACCTCTGCAGTATCTACTGAACCAGTCAAGACAACCACTGCATCATCAACAGAACCAGTCCCATCAACCTCTGCAGCACCTGCAGAACCAGTCCTATCAACCCTGCAGGATCAACAGAACCAGTGCAACAACCCTGCAGCATCTAGCAGAACCAGTCCCATCAACCTCTGCAGCATCTACAGAACCAGTCCCATCATCCCCTACAGCATCAACAGAACCAGTCCCATCAACCTCTACAAAGGCACTCAACAGAACCAGTCCCATCAAACCCCGCATCTACAGAACCAGTCCCTTCCAACCTCTACAGCATCAACAAACCAGTCCCATCAACCTCTGCAGCATCAACAGAACCAGTCCCATCAACCTCTGCAGCGCCTTCAGAACCAGTTCCATCAACCTCAGCACCATCAACAGAACCAGTCCCATCAACCTCTGCAGCATTTACAGAACCAGTCCCATCAACCCTGCAGCATCAACAGAACCAGTCCCATCAATCTCCTCGCATCAACAGAACCAGTACCATCAACCCTGCAGCATCTACAGAACCAGTCTCATCAACCTCAGCAGCATCTACAGAACCAGTCCCATCAATCTCCGCAGCATCAACAGAACCAGTCCCATCAACCTCTGCAGCATCTACAGAAACTAAATACATCAACCACTGCATCATCAACAGAGCCAGTCCCATCAACCTCTGCAGCATCTACAGAACCAGTCCCATCAACCTCCGCAGCATCAACAGAACCAGTTCCATCAACCTCGCAGCATCAACAGAACCAGTTCCATCAACCTCGGCAGCATCAACAGAACCAGTCCCATCAACCCTGCAGCATCTACAGAACCAGTACCATCAACCCTGCAGCATCTACAGAACCAGTCCCATCAACCTTTGCAGCATCTACAGAACCAGTCCCATCAACCCTGCAGCATCTACAGAACCAGTCCCATCAACCTCTGCAGCATCTACAGAGCCAGTCCCATCAACTTCTACAGCATCAACAGAACCAGTTCCATCAACCTCTGCAGCATCAACAGAAATCAGTCCCATCAACTTCTGCAGCATCTACAGAACCAGTCCCATCAACCACTGCAGCATCTACAGAACCCAAATCCCATCAACCTCTGCAGCATGGCCAGAGCCAGTCCCATCAACTTCTACAGCATCAACAGAACCAGTCCCATCAACCTTTTTGCAGCATCTGCAAACCAGTCCCATCAACCTCTGCAGGATCGCTAGAACCAGTCCCATCAACCTCTGCAGCATCTATACAGAACCAGTCCCATCAACCTCTGCATCATCTAAGCAGAACCAGTCCCATCAACCTCTGCAGCATCAACAGAACCAGTCCATCAACCTTTGCAGCATCTGCAAAACCAGTCCCATCAACCTCTGCAGGATCTACAGAACCAGTCCCCATCAACTTCTGCAGCATCTAAACCAGTCCCATCAACCTCTGCAGCATCTACAGAACCAGTCCCATCAACCTCTGCAGCATCAACAGAACCAGTCCCATCAACCTCTGCAGCATAAACAGAACCAGTCCCATCAACCCTGCAGCATCAACAGAACAGTCCTATCACCCTACAAAGTACCCAGAGCCAGTCCCATCAACTTCTACAGCATCAACAGAACCAGTCCCATCAACCTGCAGCATCTGCAAAACCAGTCCCATCAACCTCCTGCAGGATCTATGAACCAGTCCCATCAACCTCTGCAGCATCTACAGAACCAGTCCTATCAACCTCTGCAGCATCAACAGAACCAGTCCCATCAACCCTGCAGCATAAACAGAACCAGTCCCATCAACCTCTGCAGCATCTACAGAACCAGTCCCATCAACCTCTGCAGCATCTACAGAACCAGTCACATCAACCACTGTACTGTCAAAAGAACCAGTCCCATCAACCTCTGCATCATCAACAGAACCAGTCCCCAACCTCTGCAGCACCTACAGAACCAGTCCTATCAACCCCTGTAGCATCAACAGAACCAGTCCCATCAACCTCTGCAGCACCTATACAGAACCAGTCCCATCAACCTCTGCAGCACAAGAGATCCAGTCCCATCAACCTCTGCAGCATCTACAGAACCAGTCCCATCAACCCTTCAGTATCTACAGAACCAGTCCCATCAACCCTGCAGCATAAACAGAACCAGTCCCATCAACCTCTGCAGCATCTACAGAACCAGTCCCATCAACCTCTGCAGTATCTACAGAACCAGTTCCATCAACCCTGCAGCATCAACAGAACCAGTCCCATCAACCTCTGCAGCATAAACAGAACCAGTCCCATCAACCCTGCAGCATCTACAGAACCATGAAGTCCCATCAACCCTCAAGTACCTTACAGAACCAGTCCCACTCAACCTGCAGGCCTACAGAACCAGTCCTACCAACCCTGCATCATCACCAGAACCAGTCCCTCAACCCTGCAGCACCTACAGAACCAGTCCCACAACCCTGTAGCATCAACAGAACCAGTCCCATCAACCCTGCAGTACCTACAGAACCAGTCCCATCAACCCTCTGCAGCATCAACAGAACCAGTCCCATCAACCTGGCGCATAAACAGAACCAGTCCCATCAACCCTGCAGCATCTACAGAAATCCAGTCCCATCAACCTCTGCAGCATCTAAAGAACCAGTTCCATCAACCTCTGCAGCATCAACAGAACCAGTAACATCAACCCCTGCAGCATCTGCAAACCAGAAGTCCCATCAACCTCTGCAGCATTCCAAGCAGAAACCAGTCCCATCAACTTCTGCAGCATCTACAGAACCAGTCCCATCAACCCTGCAGCATCTACAGAACCAGTCCCATCAACCTCTGCAGCATCTATAGAGCCAGTCCCATCAACTCTGCATCACGCTACAAACTTCAGTTCCATCAACCACCGCAGCATCTAAACAGAACCAGTCCGAATCAACTCCCTGCATCATTACAGAACCAGTCCCATCAACCTCTGCAGCATCTATATAGAACTAGTCCCATCAACCTCTGCAGTATTTACAGAACCAGACCCATCAACCTCCTGCAGCATCTACAGAAGCAGTTCCACAACTCTGCAGCATTTACAGAACCAGTCCCATCAACCCTGCAGCATCTACAGAACCAGTCCCATCAACCTTCCTTGCAGCATCTAGCATATGAAACTGAAGTTCCATTAACCTCTGCAGTACTTTACAGAACCAGTCCCATCAACCTCTAATTCTTACAGAACCAGTTCCATTAACCTCTGCAGCATCAACAGAACCAGTCCCATCAACCTCTGCAGCATCTACAGAACCAGTCCCATCAACCCTTGCAGCATCTACAGAACCAGTCCTATCAACCCTACAGGATCAACAGAACCAGTCCCATCAACCTCTGCATCAACAGAACCAGTCCCATCAACCTCTGCAGCGTCTACAGAACCAGTTCCATCAACCTCAGCAACATCAACAGAACCAGTCCCATCAACTTGCAGTGATCTACAGAACCAGTCCACCAACTGCAGCATCTACAGAACCAGTCCCATCAACCTCTGCAGCATCTACAGAACCAGTCCCACAACCTCTGCAGCATCAACAGAACCAGTCCCATCAACCTCTGCAGCATAAACAGAACCAGTCCCATCAACCTCTGTAGCATCTACAGAACCAGTCCCATCAACCTGCAGCATCTACAGAACCAGTCACATCAACCACTGCATCATCAAAAAAGAACCAGTCCCATCAACCTCTGCATCATCAACAGAACCAGTCCCCTCGCCAACCTCTGCAGCACCTAAGGCAAGAACCAGTCCTATCAACCTCTGTAGCATCAACAGAACCAGTCCCATCAACCCTGGGTAGCATCTACAGAACCAGTCCCATCAACCCTGCAGCATAAACAGATCCAGTCCTACCAACCTCAAAAGCATCACAGAACCAGTCCCATCAACCTTCTTCAGTATCTACAGAACCAGTCCCATCAACCCTGCAGCATAAACAGAACCAGTCCCATCAACCTCTGCAGCATCTACAGAACCAGTCCCATCAACCTCTGCAGTATCTACAGAACTCAGTTCCATCAACCTCTGCAGCATCAACAGAACCAGTCCCTATCAACCTCTGCAGCATAAACAGAACCAGTCCTACCAACCTCTGCATCTACAGAACTAGTCCCATCAACCTCTGCAGCATTCTTACAGAACCAGTCCCATCAACCCTCTGCATTCATGAACCAACCCATCAACCTCTGCATCATCAACAGAACCAGTCCCCCAACCCCTGAGAAAGCACCTACAGAACCAGTCCTATCAACCTCTGTAGCATCACCAGAAACTAGTCCCATCAACCCTCTGCAGCATCTACAGAACCAGTCCCATCAACCCCCTGCAGCAACCAGTCCCATCAACCTATGCAGCATAAACAGAACAGTCCCATCAACCTCTGCAGCATCTAAGTACAGAACCAGTCCCATCAACCTCTGGGCATCTATAAAGAACCAGTTCCATCAACCCTGCAGGTATCAACAGAAACTTCAGTAACATCAACCTCTGCAGCATCTGCAAAACCAGTCCCATCAACCCTGCAGCATCTACAGAACCAGTCCCATTAACTTCGCAGCATCTACAGAACCAGTCCCATCAACCTCTGCAGCATCTACAGAACCAGTCCCATCAACCTCTGCAGCATCTATATAGAGCCAGTCCCATCAACCTCTGCATCATTTACGGAAAGAACCAGTTCCATCAACCACTGCAGCATTCACAGAACCAGTCTAATCAACCTCTGCATCATTTACAGAACCAGTCCCATCAACCCTGCAGCATCTATAGAACTAGTCCCATCAACCCTGCAGCATTTTACAGAACCAGACCCATCAACCTCTGCAGCATCTACAGAAGCAGTTCCATTAACCTCTGCAGCATTTACAGAACCAGTCCCATCAACCTCTGCAGCAT